GCTGAAGTGGCTGTCCCAAGTAGTGCCAGGGACTAGTATTATTTTGCTGTTCTAGTCCTTGGGGGTCAAATTAATTCCTTTCAATTTAGTTTAACCTGAACTAGTTACCTAACAGCACATGTGCCCTCTCCACCTGGTATAGATTAACAAATGGGCAGTAAAGCAGTCTAGAACCTCTTCAGAGCAGAACTAGCAGCAGAAGCATGACTCACCAGGGAATGCAATGGGACAGCCTGTCAGCTAGAAATCCTGAATTTTGATAAACACAGAGAACTAGATTTTCAAACACTGCAGAAAGCCAGGCCTACATGATGGATCCAGAAGCTCTTCTGAGTTCTTAAGGATGGCAGTACCTCCCAGCAATGCCTCAATGGACAGGGCTCAAAGATGCACTAATTTCCATCTCCCTTTCCCACTGAGTGAATTTCTATTAGGAATCAATCTTGGGTGCCTGGAAAAGAAAACAATTATGGCAGACTTTGGAAGGCAGAAATCTCCAGCCCTCCGTTACTTCACACTTTTCCATACGTAAATTCAGTGTGAATGCTCTCAGCACATCTTCCTCATTAGAATTCCACAAAAGTTTAGGAAAACAATTATTTTAATAATGGAACAAATGCAGCTACAGTACTGAATTAAGTCTGTAAAGAGAGAAATCTTCAACTTTGGTTTTTAATTTGCACATCAGTACAAATCTACAGGGCAGGCCAAAGCCCAACCTATTACCAACACACCTTAAAATATGTAAAAGGTAATTGAGCAATGAACAAAAGACTGAGTACAAAGGAAGAGACTGTTATTGAGTTGAATGCTCCCAGGTTGAGTCTGGCCCCCTTCGCAGCACATGTGGAGGGACACATACACCCACTGCACTTGAGGGCCAGAGAGGGAGGGGAGAAGTCAGAATCATCTTAGACCACTTATGAGACCCTTTTGTATACAAGCCACTACAAAAAAAATGAGGCATCTGGCCATTATTGCAAAGGGTATGTCATAGGAGAGGCATGTGACTTAAAATTTGTGATGGAATGCACTGGAAAAACAAAATATGTAGAATGCAACACTGCCTGACTAACATATGTTCCTGGTGCAAACATAGGATGCAATTTACTTCACATGTTAACAACATCCATTCTGTGAGATAATCTGATGCAGGTCAGAATTCCAACTGAATCTTAGAAACTATGTAGAATATTACAGATTTGATTTTTACCCACATATTAATCATGTACAATCACAGTTAACTTCCCAAGCACCTGACAGGTTCACAAGTTCGAAATGGTGCATGTAGGTTCCCTCAAATACGAACTGTACAGAAGGAAGTTCTCATCTTGAATCATCTTCTGGAAGGCTCTCTTACTGTCCCTATTCAGAGCTCAGAGGAAATGTTAGGATATAAGCTACAACAGGTAGTAGGATTACTGCAAATTAATACTAAATTATTAAATATAGACACAGTGGTTGGGGCCTTTCCAAACCTAGATAATGGCTAATTTGGTCTGAGTAAGAAAAACCTTCAATAAGAAACCCCAGCCAAGACCATGGATTTCTTCTGGAGAAAAAAGAACATCCTCTATATTATTACAGTACTTTTCTCTTTGGAAAGTTGATTTAGAAGAAATGCAAATGCCTGAAATAGAAATTCTAGATGCTTTTTTTCCTTCTCTCGTTGGAGCCTACTTAGTCAAAATGCAAAGTCATACTCACAGCTCCTATGCCATCCTTCAAGCCAATAAAAAGAAAGATGCCTGTTTGCCCAGGTTGTAGCAGATGATATGCAAGCTAACGACATCCTAGCAGGAGAATCCCAAAGCTCCATATTCCCTGTGAATGTAGATATCATAACTCCACCTCATCCTTCTGGGTGTGCTAGCAGTGACCTCAGTACAAGCTCCCTGAAAGGAAATTCTTTCGGTGGGGTGATGGAACTGGTTCAAATCACACACTTTGTGCTGTATGCTCTATAAATAAATCCTGAACAGTTATATATTAAGATTTTCACAACAAGCTTTGATATAATACTACCCTGGTTTTGATTTGGGGGTGGTGGGAGGGAGGTCTAAGAAGCCTCCTTCAAATTCACACACAGTATCTTGCTACAGTTGCCTACAGATTTCAAAATCAGGAGGCACTACATGAGCAATGGGACACTGGCATGCACTGTAGCAGAAAACAGGAAATATAATTAAACATAGAGCCATGAGGTAAGTTCTTTGGCAACAGAAAGAGTGCCTTGAGAAGAAAGTGGCAAGGGCAAAGCACTATGAAATGGCAAAGTGACGTGGTTAAGGCAGGGAATGAAGCATGGGGGTAGAGATGAAGAAACAAGGTTGAGAAGAGCAGAAAAAGAAGCACAAAGACGGAAAGTGACAATAAGAGAAAGAAGGCAAAGCATACAGAAGAGAAGAATATACATAGGGGGGGAAAAACTCTTAGGAGTAGTATTACTCTTAAAAGTTATTTAGTAAGGTCAGAAGCCACTTTGTTATGCAACAGGATATGCTTTTCTGTATAGGAAGAGATTGTTTAAGCTTCTATGAAACCTTAAAAAAAATCAGTGAGAGAGAAATAGAAAATAATAAGGAAGTAACATCATATTTCTTTTGACTTTAAAATTGCTTTTTAGGTCATATTTCACCCTTCCCTCCCAACCTCCAAGTATTTTCCAGGATGGAATTTTCTTCTTCTCACTCCAAGATTTCGCGTGGGCAGAGCACTGCAGATGCTGCTGAACTCAGAAACCAAGAAACTGATTCATTTTTCCCTTGAATCTTGTGTTATCATTTAGACTGGGAACAAACAAATGTCAAAGGCTCCAAGTTAGAAACTAGCAGCCACAATTTTACACAGCCTGACCATTCACTTTGTCCCAGAGTAACAGCGGTACCAGAGGGAGAGTAAAGTTCTGAATCCCTGCTAGATTGCTAAATATATAAGAAAAATTATTTTTTCTTCTGTTCCATCAGACTTGTGGTCTAAAACTCCTCTCAGTTTTGACCATGTGCAGAGGATAGGTTTTCTCTAAGGTACGCCCAACAACCATTATTCGACTTTGCTGAACAAAAATTAAGAATTAGAATTAAGACAACTTCATCAAATCTATGAGCAAAGTCCTTCAGTCTCACTGATCATATTCCACAAGTCCAGTTTCTTTTCATTTCAGCCGCTGGTGCTGTACAAACCCACTGCTGGGTATCAATTCAGTACTCAGAAAAGATTCTCAGAACAAATCCTGTGGAATCATAGGACAAAGAAGAAGCTGCTCCCAGAATAACTCATACTATGTTCATATTTTTTAAATCTGAGGCCACTTGCAGTAAGAAAGTTTCTTTCCCTACTTCATCTTAGACTTCAAAACAAACCAAACATTTTAAAAGATTAGACACATTTTTTACTCCCACCATTTCTTAATAAAACACCATTTGTGTGGGAAAACAGCTTAGTGCTTACTTTAAAAACAGGCAAACCATTAATTAATCCAGCATGTTGGCAGTTTTAGAGAAACTTACTAGAGAAGAATAAACTATGCTGCATCTTAAGTTTTAAAACAGCTTGAGATTTACTTTGAGGGTGCATAAGTATGCCAAGCTCCTACTACTTTATACTTCTTAGGATATAATCTGTGATATTTAAAGTAGCAAGAAGTACAATTTGAAAAGCTGCTAAACCATGGGCAGGTTATAAAACACAGTTTTAGGAAGCTCAAGAGGTTATGAGTTGCTTGTCTCACAAAACCAAAGGAAAACACTAAAAAAAGCCCCATCTTGCACCAACCGTACCAAAGAAACACTATTTTGCCCAATACAAGTGGTTAATCTCTGAAACAGGCTGGACACAAAAGAGGTTCCAAAATCACTCCTTTTGCATCAGCAGTATTTTAGCACTATGGTTAGGCAACAAATTGCTTTTTAGCACATCCAAGCTAGCTAGTTTACTGTGAAAATGTAACATGTCATTAGAATAACATCCTGTTTTGCAGCATTTCTGTATTTCAATTTACCCCAACTCTACTAAGATTCAACTGGCATGAAACAACTGGGCATGATTAGTTACTGGATGGAAACCAAACTGAGATTTCGCAATAGGTGGCATCTTATCTCCATGGCATAGGCAGCTGGTATAAAAGACAAGTGACTCCTGGCAGAAAACATTGTCCCTAAATATATATCTGGTGAACTGTTTCTAAGACATTATTTCAGATCAAGCACTGGTACAGAAACAGTGGGGTTTTTTTTGTTTGGTGGTTTTTTGGTGGGGTTTTTTTTTTTTTTTTTTTTTTTGTGGGCATAAGCCAGGGTTTAGGTTATTTTGAATTACTGGATTTTGACTGGGTTCTAGTTGACAAGCACATGTTGGGACCCGACCACCAATGTGCTGACATTGCAAGCACAAACTCCACCAGAACATTCACCTGGGAGAGTGAAACACTCCCTCCATCCCAGTCCTGGACAACATATCTCATGCTCTCACCAAAACAGATACTCAACATTCCTACTCGATCTCACAGCTTTTAGATCATTGCAGCCAAGACTGTGGACACCGTGTTCTCTACTTTATTGCACCTCCTGATAAGCCTGCACCACAACACTGCAACTTCTCTTCCAAAAGTTCTCAGTCACACTCGATCCCACACGGCACCTGCCAGAAGATTCTCAGGACACAACGAAACACAGCGGGATCAGCGTCCCATTCCTCTGACTAGACCCAAACTTTACGTGCCCCAAACTTTTCAACCCTGGAGCACCGGCGTGCATTGCTATGGATATGTTAGCAGCACATCCATCCTTTGCCATGGCAGCATGGAGAGGAGCTCCATGGACCCCACGATGGGCACCCAACACCCAGCAACGCCCAAAACCCATCCTGCTCCCCGTCAGGAGGTGCGAGAACACCTTCCCGCAGTAGCTCCCACACCAAGGATGCGGGAGGGCAGAGCGGGCTGAAAAAGGGGGGCCATCCGTCTGCCCCCTCAGCACACCCCTGGGGGTGGCGTGACTCACCTGCGTGGGGCATGGTGATGGTTTCGTTGGCGTTGCTGGAGCCCACGTTATAAATGACGACGGCGGAGGCGTTCTGGGCGGCGGCGTGGCGGATCTTGTCCTTGTAGGTGCAGTTTCCCCGCGGGATCAGGGCCACCCAGCTCTTGCCCGGCGCCGGGGCGTTGAAGCGGGTGCCGGGGTCGCAGGCGTAGCGGTCGGCGGGCGAGGCGGAGAGGGCCACCTGCCCCCGGGCGTCCTGCTTGGGCGACTGCTCGCCGTAGCGCCCACACTCGCTCTTCTCGCTGCGGAGCTCGGGACTGCCGGCTGCCGGGTCGGCGTAGGTGATGTTGACGAAGGCCGTGTACCACTCCTCCTTCTCGGCCACGGTGAAGTCCAGGCACAGCAGATGCACGAAACAAAAGGACAGCAGCCATGTTGAGAGCGCCAGGCTGCGGCACGCTTGGATCACAGACATTGCCATCTTCATCAGCCGGCCCCCCCGCCTTCCCGCCGTCGGTCCGTGTGTGCGTGCGCGCCCCGAGCCGCCGCTCCAAGCGGGGCGGCGCTGCTCCCGCCGGCGCCGTGCGGGACCAGCGAGCGAGCGGGGCAGGGGGCCCTCCCCTCTGCAGCCGCTGCCTAATTCATGTCGGGGCCGTTTGATTTCCTCGGACTGGCCCCGTCTCCGCCTTCCCTCCTCCCTCGTCCCTCCTGCCCCTTATTCCCCTCCCTCGCTCTGCCCGCACAGCTGCCTCCCCCGCTGCTGGCAGCGCGGCCGGGGAACAGCGCGGAGGGGGCGGCACTGCGCGGGGGGAGTTCCAGACGCGCACACGGCGCCGCAGTTCCTAGTGCGGACTCGGCCCCGGCCCGGCCCCACGGACACGCTGCTGGCGGAGGGGGTTCCTGGAGGAGGGAGTGCCGGCAGAGGGTCTGCACTCTCCGGCCCCGTGGAGGGACTCCCGGTGGAGGGGCTGCTGGCGGTGGGGGCTCAGGCAGAGGGGCAGCGCTGCCCGGCTCGGCGGAGAGGGCTCCCGCCGGAGGGACTCCTGCCAGAGGGGTTCCCGGCGGAGGGGGCTGCTGCCAAAGGGGCTCCCGGCGGAGGGGCTCCTGGCAGAGGAGTTCCCGGCGGAGGGGCTCCCGCCGGAGGGGGAAGCGCCGGCGGCGGGAGCGGCGGTGCGGCGCCACCTGGCGGCGGCGTGGGAGCAGGGGGTCAGTCCCGGGACCGCCCGTGCCGAGATCCGGGAGTCTCCCGGGAGCGCAGCTCGGCACCTCCGAGTGCTCGCTTCAACTTCAGTTTTGCTCTGGCTTTCACACTTTTCCTGACTGCTGCAGGAGACGCTAAGTTTGCTTCTGTCAGTGTTACAGTGTAACGATGGCGCGCAGCTCAGAGGGGTGGTCGTTTGTACAGAGGTTTTTAAGTACACACCGAATACGTTTCCGGCTATACTTTCCGGAATGGGAAGGACAGGCGAATTTACTAAAATCAGATGTGGCTGACAGGAGCACAGAAAGCCTCAAAGAATGATGGAGCTGCTCTCTGGAGGCAGTTAAACGATGCGCTTAATTTTGGTTCGGTAAAAGCCCAGATTTGGGGGTTTTGAGTGTATGAAACACCCCAAAAGAATTTTGGCCATGCCTGACACCTTTCAAAAGGATCAAATCACTCTACATCTGTCTATACTAGTGCAAATGAAGGCCAAAATTCCATTTTCCTATCACTGTGTTCCATAACAAAAGAATGTCTTACATGATTTATAGGTAGTGCCTATTGTAGCCCGTTAGTAAAACCTGCTGCTAGAAGTACCATTCACTTTCTTTCAATGAGTGCCTGAGTATCTCACTCGTGTCAATATTTGCCTCGTTCCAGGTTATGTTCATAGCTGCCCATGATCGAAACAAACAAGCCTTAACCATGTTTTATACACACACATGCTGTTTCAAAAAAGTTAATTCCCTAAAGCTGAAAAAGGTGAATTTGGGAGGAAAATGTGAATAGGGTAATAAAATAGAGAAGCTTACAGGGAAACATGGTAAGTAATTTACCAATAAGTCTACCATTAAGCAAGAGGAAAATTTTCCTTGAAAGCCCATTCTTGAATAAGCAAAGTCATCAAATGAGAAGAAAAATTACTGTGTAGAACTAACATTGAAATGCAATAGTAGATGGCAATCAACATTAATTAGAAAGTGTTGAGATTTCATCAGGGAAGCAAAAGCCCTAAGGGGAAAATCCATGCCTGGAGGGGCTATGGGTAACAAATCATTTGTATATTTAGAAGTGGAAGGAGTATTATTAGAACAGAAGGCTAAAATATACATATATAATTTTTTACATAAATACTTCAGGATTGTGTTTGGAAAGATAGGGAGGAAATGTTTGCTAGCTTATGAACTCAAAAAAGAAGTATCTCCTAAGACCATATGAAAAACAGCAGTCCTAGAAAAATGGCACCCATGTACCAATAAAATACCAAAAGAAGGGACAGGAGAACTGAGAGAGTAATTGTCTTTCTAACACTTCAAGTAAATCTTGGCATAGCAGGAAAATCTTGAAACATTTAGTGTTCAGTTTTCTGATAAGGTCCAGAAAAACTAATTACGGTAACCAGTTAGTTACAGGCTGATTAGGCTGACATTAACCAACTTGAAGAAAAAGAGAGAGGAAAAAAAAAAAGTATGGACAAAGTGTTTTTATGGGAAGTGGCCTGCCAAGCAAATATGGTTCATGTTTTTGTGAGGAAGTTATCAGTGTGGTTAGTAAAGTTACACAGCCACATCCATAACAGGTTTTTGACTGGTGTGCTATTCAATGAGACATGACATTCTCATTACACTGTAACCTATTAGGGACTAGATAAGACGAACTTAGTTAAAACAGAATGTGCTTTAATGGAGCTTAATGTAAAAACACGTCTCCAGGTGACCAAGTGCCAGCCACTCTGGAGCAGCGTGTGGTTTACTCTGCACACAGGGAAGGGTGTGGGGTTAGAGTAGGAAAGAATTGTTCTATATTCTTAGGGAAATGGGGCCTAAAGAGGATACAGCTATCCCTGGATGTTTCAGAGGAGCAACAAGTAGGAAATAGTAGATTTTTACTCAGTTTGAAACACCAGTGAGACAAATGTTGAAAACTGTCCAGTTTTGGTATTTGCATTTTAAAAATAGATATTAAGAACGTTGAGAAAGTTAAGAAAGGAACCCTAAACATAAATTTAAGTAGTTCCTCTCCAGGGAGCATCTTCAGGTGTCCAATCTATTCAGCTTTTCAAGAAAAGGTGATGTGATTACATTGTGTAAGTACCATCACAGGGATAAAACAGCAGGTACTAATAGGCTCTTTAAGCTAGAGCATAAAACATAACAGGAACCTAAGTTTAAACTAGACAGTGCAGCTTAGAGCAAAAGTAGCTGATTAAACAGTACCTGTCTACTGGAGAAAATTCAGAAGTGAGACGGTTCTGGGTAGTAAAAGACAATCTGCTCTTATATTCAAATTAAACAAACACCAATCAAAAGCATGCTTCAAGTGTAAGATTAATCACAATTAATTTATAATCTAGTGGTCACTTCTCACCTTGAAAATACTCTTGAATAAAGAAAACAGAATACTTAATTACTTTTGTTGCTGAAAGCTGAACTACAATTGACTAGTTCAACGCTTTGACTTAAAATCACCCAGTGTGGTATCATAGTTGATGGTGGTTCTTCCCGTGTTTTTTCTGTTCACAGAAATATCTTCCCCACAGCTCTGTTCTAGTCCTGGCACAAGAACACCATGCTTTCAAGTACAGCAGTAAATGTTTCTTCTCAGGCCAGCAAGACATTTGCCACCATCCTACCCTATCCTATGTTCTCTCCTTCAAAAAAACCCAAACCTATAGAAGCATACTAGGCATTGTCACAAATCTCATTGCCCAAATTACAGTGAAAAGCACACTTTTATATGCTATTGAAAATAATTTTACAGTATCAGAAGCATTGGGATGAGGGGTGTATCTCTGGATTTTGAGTGTTATGTATGAATTTAACAACATATTACAAATTCTCTGCCCCATTTTCGATGTTTCTGAAGTCACAATAATTCCATCTGAACTATCTGAACCTTGCAGAAAGCTACAAGACCATCATATTCAAACTTGAGTGTGTGAAATAGGGTTAGTAAGTAGAAGAGAAGTGGCATGTGGGGAACTCCAGCTCCAGATTCTTGATGTATAGAAATTCAGAAGCTGGATTTAGGCAACAGCTGATAATGAGCAAAGGATACATTGAAATTCACTGTATGACTATCTCTGGCATATGCCACAATACTTGGCCCTTCCATGAGGTAAAATTCATTAGTTTATACCCTTTTTGGTTTAAAAGGCAATTGCTATGCTTGCATTATGCTGGACTGTGTGTCATTTGTGTACCAAAACCCAAATTATCTCAAAGGAAATAGCAGAAATTTCTTTAGTTAGAGGTGAGGAATCTCACCAGCTTACTAAAGCCCTCTGTTATCGAATCCCATAGTGTTTTGTGGACCTTGCCAAGAGGTAAAATGGCAAAAGGTTTAAAAATTAGACTTTAAAATATTAGGCTGCCTAAATTCTGCTGAAGTGGGGATTTATCTGGAATTTAGAAATCTTGATCCAGAAGAATACTGAAGGTGGCATTGCAGGATATTGAAAAAGCCTATACTAGGTGCGCTGGCTCCCTTTATCACTACACGGAAGATCATCCAGGAAGCAATGCAGAGTGTGCAAACTTGATGCCTTATTGTATGTAGGACCTAGATAGTCCCAAAAGTCAGTCATTAAATGTTGAACTGGTCACAGGCAAAAGCAAACTTATGGAAAATATACACCACAGAGTAGGTGAGAAGTCCCTCCTCTCTCTCCTCTGAGGAGGTTCTGATCAATTCCCTCGCCTTTGGGTGTGACTGTCCCATGGGGTTAGGGCCCTAGCATGTGTGACTGAGAGAGACCTGGGTTTAGTGCTAACATCAATGCAATTCTTAAGGTTTCTTGATGTTGATGGACAGCAGGAAAGCTGACTGAAATACAATCTGTGTGTGCTCAGGAGAAGTTCTTTTGCCTTCCCTGGCTATTAGACTGAAATTGATTCTTTTCTACAGCTAGAGAAGAGCAGAAGAGATGTTAACACTGGAAGACCACGCAAATGCTAATACAATACCATTTCCTCATCTATTTGCTGCCAATACTTTGCTTTGAGTCACCAACCCCACTGTGTCAGTTCATTTTGAGAGTTAATTGAGCCATACATCTTTTCTTGTCCTAACTGGCATTGATAATACTCCATCCATCTTCCTATTCATATGCTAATAGCTATATTACCTGTCACTTTATTCCAGAATCCTGCCTTAGATTGGGATACTGCTTAATTCTACTCTAACATTCTCTGTATCACTACAGTTGCCACTGTAGTTCTGGTTTCATTTACTTAGGTAAATTTGAAATGTTCTTGAGAATACTTTGACACTTTAAAGAAAGTTTCTGAGTCAAGTCCCAGACAAAAAGAGATCTGTGTTACAGCCAAAATAAATTGCTCACTGGAACTAAAGGAAAAGTTCAATAGAATGTATAGGGAAAGTGATATTTTAATTTAAAAACTATGAAGATAGTTCAAAGGAGCCCTACCTTCTTTGATCTCTATTAAGTTTTCATACTGATATAGTGTTCCCTGTGTT